TGTGTATGTACCAAGTACATGCCTGGTGACTATAGAGATCAGAAGAGGGCATCAGGTACCTTGGAACTGGAGTTAGAAATGGTTGTGAGGCACCATGTGGGTGCTGGGAACCAACTTGAATCCTAAGCGAGAGCAACAAATGTTCTTAACCACTGAGCTACCTCTCTAGGCCCAACAAGATCATTTTTAATATTTGTTTACTACATGTATTTATTTTTTGTATGTATTTATATTTGAGTATGAACATGCTATGTCATATATATGAAGGATGGAGAACAACTTTCAGCAGTTACTACTCTCATTCCACAATGTGGGGATAGAGTCTATAGTCATCATGGATACCACTGCAAAAGAAACTTCCTTGTTCATAACAGCAGGTGGCATGCTTCCACATGGTTGCTGGTGACAGCACAGACTATGAACATCAATACAGATGCGGCCAAGGACACCAACTTGACTTTCAGCAGCAGTACAAACTACAGACATCCACATGACCTTTGGTGGTAACATGGACCATGGTCATCAACATGGCTCCAGTGGGATCACAGGCCATGGATATTCACATGGCCTCTGGCAGTAACACCAGTATCAGCATGGCCTCCTGTAGCAACATGGTCCATGAGCATCAACAAGGCCTATGGCAGTAGCACAGACCGTGGATATCAATAAGACCTCTTAGCCACAGCAAGGACCATGGACACTAACATAGCCCTCAGTGGTACCTTGGACCATAGACATCAACATGGCCCCCAGTAGGAGCACAGACAATGGACACCCACATGGACTCTGGCAGTAACACAGACTACTGACATGGACATGGCCTCTGGTGGCAGCGTAGATGACAGACAGCAGCATGGTCTCAGGAAGCAGTCCAGGCCATGGACATCCATATGTCTTTCAGTGGTAAAATAGACCACAAACATCAACATGGTCATAGGTGGCTGCACAGATCACAGACATGAACATGGCCTCCTATAGACCACAGACATCATCAGCATGGCCCTCTGGTGACAGCACAGACTACAGACATCAACATGGTATCCATTGGCAGCACAGATCACGGATGCCAGTTTGGCCTCTACAGACCACTGACACCAGCACATCACCTGGCTATAGCATGGACAACAGATATCACATGGCCTCTTGTGACAGCACAGTCCATGGATGTCTTTTAAGGAGGTCCAATCTAGAAAATGAACCATTCTTTATCTTCAACATCCTTTCATTGCTCAGTCAGAGCAATTGTATGACTGGGCAGTGATTTCAGGAGAACAGCCTGTGAGAGCTCCAGGCTGCTTAAAACCACCCTGCCAGCACTACTCGGCAAAGCTCCCCAGTCCACTGCAGCGATGGCCTGAGGATGAGCTCTTCTATTCAGCAACAACATGTTCTTTGTCTGCTGGGGCCACACTCCCATACCATTCCCATACCCTTCACTGCTGCAGCTCTAGTTTCACCATTCTTCATCATGCATCTCTGCTCTGCCATCTTTTCCTTCCAGTTTCATGAGAGCACTTTTAAAAAGTACCTTTTCATAAGACCTGCCTTTTTGTAATTGTTCAGGAGATACTGTGGGCTCTGAAGAGTCCTCTCCTAAGCATCTCCCTTCAGAGCCTCCATGGGTCTCAGGCTCCTTGAGCTACTCCTTGGTCCTACAGGTGCTGGCAGCTCCCTCTGTCTTGAATAAAATCTATTTTTTTAATTTATTTAATGTATATGGGTTTTGTATGTATGTGTATCCATGTACCACATGAAAGCCTGATTTCCTGGGAGGCCAGAAGTGCATATTAGATCCTCCAAAACTGAATGGTCGTACACCATCGTGTAGGTGCTGAGAATTGAACCCACATCCTTTGCAAGAGCAGTAAGTGCTCTTAACCACTGAGACTTCTCTCCAGCTCCAGTATTGAACCTTTTCTTTTTTCTTTGCTTTCTGTTTTTTGTTGATTTGTTTATTATTGTTTTTTTTAGACATGGTTTTATATGGCTGGTCTGAAACTTGATACATAGACCAGGCTGGTCTCAAACTCATAGAAATGTGGCTTCCTCTGGCTCCTAAATGCTGGGATTAAATACATGCACTACCATGCCTGGTCCTGAGTGGCCATTTTTAAGGAGGTTATTCTGAATTTCTCAGCAAATTTGTTCTTCGTGCACACAGAAGGTATGAAGATTGGTGTTTGACTTCTGGTTTTGTCACATGTTATATCATCCATTAGCCCTGGTTTAGAGTATAAGGTTTTCTCTTTATAGCATCATTTATAAATAACCTCACCTTTACATTCCCCTTTCTCCTTTAGATGTTATTGTTTCTTTACCTTATCGGGTATATGTGTCTTTATTAGTAAACTAAGAGTGGTGAAAGCATATCATGATGTGTTCCTAGGGCTTGCTCCACTCCCCTAGGAGTCAATTCCTGTTGACTGCAGTTTTGTTGTATATAGTCATAGTTTATTGACTGAAGTTTTTTTTCTGAAGATAAAAATACCTTTTATACATCCATTGTAGTCATATGACTGTTTTTGTTGTGATAGTACTGATTTTTTGAGACAGGATCTTACTGTGCAAATCTGGCTGCCCTGGAACTCACAGAAATCAGTTTGCTCTGACTCCTGACTACTAGGATAAATGGTGGATGCCACTATATCTAGAAATACAGCTATTTATTGTTTAGTGCATGATATGAGGGTTTCAAATTTCCTTATGGTGAAGGCTGCATTTCTAGTATGAATCACATATGACCATAGCTTCTAATTGTTTTATGTGCTGTGTTGATTTTTTTGTTGTTGTTGAGAATCTTTGTGCCCGTGTTCATTGGGGTTAATGTACCTTAGGTTTGTTTGCTGTATCCATGTGTAGCTTTGAAGTCATTGTATGCTGGTGAATATGGTGACAGCTAAAAAGCATGGCTGTACCTCTAGTGGGTGTTATTATATATTCAACATTAGACTTTCTTCTTAAACTGTTGAGAATTCTCTTTGTCTTGCTATTTTTCTATTTGATTATAATGTGACATAGAGTCATTTGTTGATGTATGACTTATCTCTCCTGTATTTTCTTTCATATCTTTTCTAAATAATACACATAGAAGGCACATTTGCTTTTCGATGATGATGCATATATTTTAAATTATCTTTATATTCTTTCAGTTTTCTATAATCTGCCTGGATTATTTAATTTATTCATTTTTGAGAAAGTATTTCACTATATAGCCCTGGCTGGCCTAAGACTCATTAAATAGACCAGGCTGACCTTTAACTCAAAGTGATCTACCTACCTCTGCCTTATAATTGCTGGAATTAAGTATGTGCTTAACCACACCCACTAGTTTAGTTTACTTAAAGCATTTTTGTTGTTGTTGTTTTGTTTTTGAGTTGTGATACATGCCTTTAATTCTGGCACTCAGGAGGCAGAGCCAAAGTTTGAAGCTAGTTTGATCTATACAGGGAGTTCCAGGGCAGCCAAGGTTACATGGAAAGAAACTGAAGAGTTCTGCACTTCATACTCATTCAGTTATTGCCATTTTATAAAGCTTTCAAAGTTGTCTTTAATTTCTGTCTCTTTCCTTGTCTGTCATTCACCACACAAGCCATTCCAGTTGAGCTTTGATTCTAACCACACCACTGAAGGTGCCCTCTTCAGCATTCTCAATACCTATTTTGCCAAGTTCTTTGCTCAATTCATTCTCTATTCCTTCCTTAATTTCTAAAGACTCACCAACATAGCAGGCCACCTTTCCCTTGATTGCCTCCCCATGGGCTTTAGTGACTATTTAATGTTGTATTCCAGGTTGTAGGTGCTAAGGAAACAATCTGCTGTTCAGCTATACAAAATGGTTAACTGACAACCTCATCTTGTAGGCTATGGATCCACTTAGACTTTGAGTCAAGGACATGCTCTTCCCCAGCCTATCACCGAGTAGGCCTGGTCATCTCTACATATGTCAGTATCCTTTAGTGAGCAACCTTTTCTCCAGGACTCCCAGTTTTGTGATCAAAGACCCTTAGACCAGTGTTTTGGTCTTAAGCCTCCCCTGTTCAATCCTGCTTCCTCCTCACTCTACACAGGTATCAGATCTTAACTGGAAGACTTGACCAGCACTAATTCCTTTACCCTGTACCACTCACAAGCAGCCTCAACCACCACCTCTTATCAGCCTCATTCCATTTCAGCGATTAAAGCATTTTTTTAAAATTCATTTTTATTTATGCCATGTCTATGCAGTGCCTGCAGAGGATAAAAGAGTGTTAGGTTTGCTGGAACTAGAGTTACAGGTGATTGTGTGCCACCTGATAAGGGTGTGAGGAGCTGAATCTGGGTCTGTACGAGTATCAAGTGTTCTTAACCACTGAGCTATCTCTTCAGTCCTTCAGCTGATTGTTTTTATGATTATTCTCTCCAGTATAATTTGTCTTAAATGTTATCTTAAGGTTACCACTGCTGTGAAGAGACACCATGACTATAGCAAAAGGAAAACATTTAATTGAGGGGACTTGCTTACAGTTTTAGAGGTTCAGTCCATTATCATCATGGCAGGGAATATGGTGGTGTGCAGGCAGGCATGGTGCTGGAGGAGCTTAGAATCCTACATCTTACAGATAACAGGAAGTCAACTGACAGTCACATTGAGGAAAGCTTGAGCAAAAGACACCTCAAAGCCCATCCCTACAGTGAAACATTTCCTCAAACAAGGCCACACCTCCTAATAGTGCCACTACCTTTGGGAACCATTTTCTTTCAAACTACCATAAATATCTTTTGTTGTTATTGTTCTAATTTTATTGTGTTTTCTTTTTTATTTACCTCTGTTTCCTTAAAATTTTCTGGAAATGCTGATTGAAAGTGATAATCCAGTCAGTGAAGAATGTTAGTATAAACCCTCTAATGAAAGTTTCTGATTCATTGATCAAAGCACAGGTCCTTAATTAGATTTCTTGTCTTTCATTAGTGGACTGAACCTAACACTTTTGCAAATTTTGTTTATTATTTCCCACTTACAGGACACTGCACGACCAAACCTGAGTTGATCTTCAAGTTAGAGCATGGATTTGGGCCATGGAGTTTAGCAGAAGCCTCTATCCAGAGCCTTCCAGGTTGGTAAATGCGTACTGAGCAAGGGAGGTCAGCAAGAGGACCGTTCATCCTGTTGGTCATGTTAAATGCTTTTCATCAACTTACCTACTCCCAACCAGACTTTTGATTTTTGCAATTTCTGGAAAGAATTAGCCATATGAACTCATTACCTTGTTTTGGTTGTTTCTGATGTGTATTTTCCTTACCCTGTTGTCTGTGGTAATGTATTGTGTCCCACAAAATATTGTGCAATCTAATAAAGTTTATCTGAGGATCAGAGGAAAAAGATAGCCACTATAGTAAGCATAGAGGTCAGGCAATGGTAGCACATGCTTTTAATCCTATTACTCAGGAGGCAGAGTTCTGTCTGGATTGCTGTGAGTTCAAGGCCACACTGGGAACAGAGGCATGTGTGTGGTATATACCCCTAATCCCAGCACTAACCATAAAGGTCTGGAGTTCTGGACAGACAGACAGGAAGTGACAGAGCTAGGCAGGAAGAAGAAGTGATATAGCTAAACAGAGAGAGGAAATGAGATGGCAGAACAGAAAGGCATATAGGCATGGGTATATAGGAAGTAGGTCTCTTTGGAGACTGAGGAAGGGTAAGGTGAGGTTGGTGTAGCTTTTCCTATGCCTCTGATCTTTCAGGTTTTACACACACACACACACACACACACACACACACACACACACACACACCCCCCCAAAAAAAAAAAAAAAAAAAAAAAAAAACAGCTAAACAACAAAGGAGATTAAATTCAGGGTTGCTGTTTAAAAAGAGAGAGGGGGGGTGAGAGAGGATACAGATAAGGGGTAGATTATTGAATCTGCTTGTAAAAAGGAACTATTTGTTTTAAATATTTTACATTGAATTGGATTTTTCTGTATTATATACAAATTTTGTATTGGACTCACTAATATAGGATAAATAATGAAATGTTTTGGTGGCATACACCCTTAATCCTAGCATTCCAGTGAGTTCAAGGCCACAATGGAAACTGCCAGGTATAGTGACATACACCTTTAATCCCAAGACTTGAGATCTCATTTCTTGCTTGGGAAAGACACACGCCTTTAATCCCAGGAAGTGATGGCAGGAAGTAGAAAGGTTTGTAAGGCCTGAGGATTAGGAATTAGAAGCTTCTAGGCTTTTATCAACAGTTCAACTGAGATCCATTCAGGAAGGACTTAGAAATTTCAGTCTGAGAATTTGTGGAAACAAGATCAGATGAGGAGTTGTCAAGGTAAGGTTGGCTGTGGCTTGTTCTGCTACTCTGATCTTTCAGAATTCACCCCAATATCTGGCCCTGGTTTTTTATTAGTAAGACCATTTAAGATCCGTATTACAGTTGTCTTAGTTTGGGTTTTATTGCTGTGGAAAGACACCATGACCATTATTATTATGGAGGGAAACATGGTGACATACCGGCAGACATGGTATCGAAGGAGAAGCTGAGAGTTCTACATCTTAATCTGCAGGCAGCTAAAGGAGACTGTGTACCACATTGGGTGTAGTTTGAACATATGAGACCTCAGAACTCACATCCACAGTGACACATTTCTTCCAACAAGGCCATACCTTCTAATAATGCAAAACCTTTATGGGCTAAGAATTCAAACACATGAGTATGGGGGCCATACCTATTCAAACCACCACACCTATTTTCTACTTTCCTTGCTCTGAAGTAGGATTAAAAAAGGAAACCCTTTTTATTATCTCATTTACATCTTATTATTATTGCTTGTTTTTTTCAGACAAGTTTCTGTGTGTAGCCTTGACTATACTAGAACTCATTATGTAGAGCAGGCTAGCCTTGAACTCACAGCAATATGCCTGCCTTTGTTTCAGTGTGCTGGGATTAAAGGTGTGTGCCACTATACCTAGCATAATATTTATTAATTTTTACCTGAAATTTGTACTTCAATAATCACATATTCTGTAGTGTATCACTTTTTACTTTAATTTATTAATTCATCTGTTTACATTTATTTATTGTGTGTGTGTGCTTGTACACATTATGGCTCACTATTGTGGAGACCAGAGGACAATTTGTGGAAGCTGGCTCTCCTCCTACCATTTGGGTTCTTAGGATAGAATTCACGCCATCATACTTGCAGCAAGTTTCTTTACCCTTGGTTCCATCTTGCAGGCTCTAATTTGTTTTTATATTTATTCTATGTTTATACCTGGTTTATTTTGGTAGCAGTGTTGTTATTGCAATTTGCTTTCTCTTCTCTTAGTAGTGATAGAGATTGAGGCTACAAATGAAGGCTGCTGATGGAAAAGACCCTGACATAAAATGAGAAGAGCTAGCCATCCCTACACCTGTACCAATGGCACTCTGGAAATTCAGTCATTGTGGCAAAAGAGCAAGCAAAAGTGTCAACTGTGCCACAACATGATCACTCTAATAACTTAACTCAGTGACTGAATTGTCATTTGTGTGACTGGGGTAGTTAGAGGCCTTAGTGAGGAAGGTACTGTTCATGTTTTGCTAAATGGACCTGATGTGCCTGTCAGATTGCTGGTTAAATATTTATGCATGTATCTATAGATTAATGCCAGTGTCAACTTTGGTCAGAGAAGCTTACTTTTGCAGTGAGTACTGGTTACAGTAGGATTCATGACTGGTCAAAGTGCTAAAACATGAATGTGTTGGACATGGTATGGAGTCATGAAGATCTCTGTGAGTTATTAAGCCAGCCCAGTCTACATAGTGAGTTCCATTACAGCCAGGACTACATAGATTATATCTCAAAAAGAAAAGAAAAAAGGGGGGGGGGAAATAAATGAATGGAGTGATCCATCCAAACTGAGAACATTTCATTTAATGTAAGGGACAATATAGGGTCTTCACTCTTGAGTCTTTTTGAAACAGATGTTAACTTTATAATGAGCAGAAAAGCAAGCAAAAGAAACCAAGAAATACAAGTTAAGAAAGAAAGAAGTGATAATTCAATTTTCAGGTGACATGACCCTATATTTCAATGACCATAAGGGCTCTTAAACATTGTCTGTAAGTAACAGGGTACACAATAAACATAGCAAATTGGTTACATCGCCTTCCCTCCCTCCTTTTTCTGCTAAGAGTAAGATCCAGGTCTTAACATATACCAAGTGCCGTAATTCATTGATAGGGCTTCAAGCTGGCAGCAACTTGTTTTGAAACAGCATCTCATGTAGCCTAGAATGACCTTGATTTTTAATTTAAGATCACCTTGAATTTCTAAAATGGTGTCACCTTGCCTAGTTTTATGTAGTGCTGGGGACTGAAACCAGGACTTTGCTGGGCAAACACTCTACCAGCTTAGCTTCCAATATCTTTTCTACATTTGAAAAATGAACATGTTGAGGATGAAATGAAGAAAACAATGTAATTTAAAATTACCTTAAAAAAAACAACCTAAGCTACCTAGGAATACTCTAAATTGTGTATACTGCTAAAACTTTAACACAGTTTTGAAATTGAGGTGCTAGCAACATAGCTCAGTGGATAAAGGGACTTGAGTTCAATCCAAGACTATTATTGTGGAAGGAGAGAATCATTATGTATTTGTTCTCTGACCTCCACACATGTGGTTTGGTTTGTGTGCACCCCTACATATAAACAAATAATTAAATGTAATTTTTTAAAAGGGAGATTTAAGAAGACACTAAAGACCTCACATTTTCCTATATTAATGCAATTAATATACTCAAAATTAATGCAATTAGTATACTCAAAACTTATTTTTTAAGTTTATTATTATTATTCAGTGTTTGGGCATGGTGTGCATGACAGGGCCATATATTTTATAGCATGTATGTGGGAGTCAAAGGACAACTATATGTAGTTTTTTCCTTCCACCTTTATGTAAGTTCTAATGATTGAACTCACATTACCAGGCTTGCACAGCAAGCATCTTTTCCAGCTGAGCTATCTAGCCAGCCCCTCAAATATCCTTTTTTGTGGTGAGGGGGGTGGTTGTTGTTTTTTCGAGACAGGGTTTCTCTGTGAAGTTTTGGTGCCTGTCCTGGATCTTGCTCTGTAGACCAGGCTGGCCTCAAACTCACAGAGATCTGCCTGGCCCTGCCTCCCGAGTGCTAGGATTAAAGGCTTATGCCACCACTGTCCATCGAATATCCTTTTAATGAAAGCTATCTATACATTCAAGACATTCCCAGGAAATGATAACTTATTCTTTAGAAAACAGGAAAATATAAACATGTAATTGTTTTACAGAAGAAATAAGTCCAGCCAGCCAATGGAATCCTGTAGAAAAGGTGTGATGCTGGACATACCTGCTTCCAAAGAATGCTACAAGAGCTATATTAGCAAAAATAGTAAGCTGTTGGCAGAAACCATTATTACAGACACTGTAATGGACTAACACAATGATGCAAAAGTATATTCAGACAACTGTAGCCATCTTTTTCTCAAATTACAAAGAATCTATATTTCATCAAAAGGACTTTAAAAGAGAGTTTTATAAAAAGTAGATCTCCGCACATAAAAGACTGAACCTAGACAGGTATTTCTTCCCCTGTACTTATGGAAGAGACCTTAATAGAAGTGCTTTAATTTTGAAACAGCTGGAGAAATTCATGTGAATACAATTGAATAAGCCAAGTATTTTGACTTTTGAATAGAATGTAAACACCTGTGGAATGTGAATGTATAGCAGGGCATGGTGATTCATGCGTAAAACCCCCAAAGTCAGAGGAGTTCAAGGTCATCTTCCACATACTAAGTTTAAGACCAGAAAATGACAGATGAGACTAGATTTCGAACAAAAACAGCTACAATAACATAAAATGAATACATTTCATAAATTTAAAATTTCTACCCAGCAATAACCAGAGTGGAGAAGTATCCATAGAAAAGAAATACCTTTGCTAGGTAATCATTCAATATGGGATTAATATTGAGAATATGTCAAGAAAGAACACATACACACAGTTGGTGATAATATAGAATTATTCAGCTGTATAATCCAGGTCTCCTGTGTCTGGCTATATGTGTGATAGGATTAAGTATACAGTGGCTGCCCCTCAAGTCCCATGCTCACAGTAACCAAGATATGATATCATCCTTTGTACTCATCACTAGATTCATCATAAAAGATGAGGCACATTTCTGGTGTATTAGTCAACTGTGAGAAGAATCAGATTGGTCTAGGCATGGTGGTACACACCTTTAATCTCATGGAGTATTCAGTGTTTATTTGCAAGATGAAGTAAATAATTTGTATATTCTTCATGAAGAAATAAAATGTGTACCATTATCAAAAGTCAATATTATTTTATAGTTTCTATGAGAATGAGAAGACACATGAACAAGATTTTAGAGTTATTCATGTATGGGGATATTTTCATTGTCATTTTAGGTGTTCATAAAATGACTGTCCCAATTGAGAATGACCAGGAATATCACAAGGGACTTTTGTGGCAAGTTGAAATCACCAACAGGCAGATATCAAATGAAGAAATTGTTGAAGTAAGTAAAATATTTAACTTGAGTTCTTAACATATTTCAGATGTAAATGTAAACATAAAGATTGGAAATTAGGAATCTCTCTTCAGGAACTTATCTCAGGTCAACAAGATGGCTCAGTTTGTAAAGGGACTTGTCACCAAGCCTGACCATCTGAGTTTGATCCCCATGTCCCATGTGGTAGATGATGAAGAAAAACCCTGAAATTTGTTCTCTTCCCTCCATATGTGTGCCATGGCATACATATATACACACAAGCACCAATATAATTTGAAAAATGAAAGAAATTAACACAGGCCTGGGAAGATTGTTTAGTCAGTAAAATGCTAGACATAGCATGAGAACATGAGTTTGTATACTCAGCACCCATATATAAAACAGCTGTGGTGATATGTATCTCTGACTAGTGCTATGAAAACAGAGAGATTAGGGTTACTGGCTTTGCTGGCCTGTGATTCCATCCCAACTAGGAAGGTTCAGGCCCAGTGAGAGACCTTTTCATAAAATAAAAATAAATATAGTGAATAGTGATTTATGAAAAGACTGAACAGCAACCTTTAGTAACCTCACATATTCATACACAGACACACATAAACTTGTATATACACATTTGTTCCCTCCTATATACTTACAAAGGAGCTTACAGCTGAGCGTCTTTGTCTATTGTGTGGTTGTTAATATTACAGCTGGAGAAGAACATGATAACTTTAATGATAATGGAAAAATTATTCTGACATCCTGATCGTTAATTTGCCATAATCTCAGTCAAAGTTGAAAGTGATGTTGTCAATGTATTTGACCAGTGATATTGTTAAAGACAATATTATTTATGCATAAATTTTCATATTAAATAGATCTCTGGTAAACTCAGTAACTATTAGATATCTTTATATATGACATTTATCTATATAGCACAAGATAGATTCTAAACCAAAGTTAGAAAGCATGTTCTAAGAAAAAGCCCTGTGGCTGTATGAAATATAACTAATTCCTCTGTATCAAGGCAGAACTGATGGTGGCACAGAAAATCTGCCAGGGGACATCTTATGAAGGGAAAGCATGTGTGAAGATGTTTTGCCAACAGTCACAGCGCACAAGGGATCAGAGCACACTCGCATGTGAGACAGCTTTCAGTTATAAGTCACTTCTCAATAATCATCAGAGCCCTTTAGAGGAAACACCCTGTACACATAGACAGTGCAGGAATACATTCTCTTGGAAGTCATACCTCACTGAACATCAGAGAAGTTGTATAGATGAGAAGCCATATGAAAGTACAGGATATGGGAAAGCTTCCCACACCAAGTCTCAGCATCAGATTACTCATACAGATGAGAAGCCCTACAAATGTCTGGAATGTGGGAAATACTTCTACTACAAGTCACAAATCACTGAACATCAGAGAAGTCATACAGGTGAGAAGCCTTATGAGTGTACAGAATGTGGAAAATCTTTCAGCTATAAGTCACATCTCACTGTCCACCAGAGAAGTCATACAGGTGAAAAGCCACATGAATGTACAGAATGTAGGAAAGTTTTTTACTATAAGTCACAACTCACTCGACACCAAAGAAGTCATACAGGAGAGAAACCCTATGAATGTGTGAAATGTGGAAAATCTTTCTACTGTAACACGCATCTTTCTCTACATCAGAGAATTCATGTAAGTGAGAAACCTTATGAGTGTACAGAATGTGGAAAAACTTTCTCTTTCAGTGCGTGCCTCACTCGACATCAAAGGACTCATACAGATGAGAAGCCATATGAATGTACAGAGTGCCCCAAAGTTTTCCACTTTAAGAAACAACTTACTCATCATCTGAAAAGTCATACTGCTGAGAAGCGCTTTGAATGTAAACAATGTGGAAAAGCATTTTACTGGAGGTCTAACCTTAGTGTGCATCAGAAAACTCATAGTGGTGAGAAGCCTTTTGAATGTAAACAATGTGGAAAAGCATTTTACTGTAAGTCCCACCTCACTGTACATCAGAGAACTCATATAAGTGAAAAGCTCTATCAATGTACAGAATGTAGGAAAGCATTCTATTCTCAGACACAGCTTACTGTACATCAGAAAACTCACACTGATGAAAAGCCATATGAATGTAAGCAATGTGGGAAAACATTCTACAGCAAGTCTGGGCTTACTGCACATCAGAAAACTCACACAGGTGAGAAGCCCTATGGATGTAAACAATGTGGAAAAGCATTCTATAATAAGTATTTGCTCATTGAGCATCATCGAGTTCATACAGGTGAGAAGCCCTATCAATGTACAGAATGCAAGAAAGCATTCTACTGCAAGAAATATCTTTCTCTACATCAGAAAACTCATGCAAGTGAGAAGTCATTTCATTGTGCAGAATGTGGGAAAGCCTTTTCCTGGATGTCACACCTCACTCAACATCAGAGAACTCATACAGGTGTGAAGCCCTATGCATGTGAACAATGTAGGAAAGCTTACTACTTCAAGAAGCAGCTCACTCGACATCAAAGAACTCATACACATGAGAAGTCATTAGATGTAAATAATGCAGGAGAACAATTCAAAGCAAATGCAACTTCTCTGTGTATGAAAGAATTCATACAAAGGAGAAACTCTGTAAGTGTACCAAATGCAGAAATTTTTCTTCCTCATGTCACACCTTACTCAAAGTCAGATGAGAAAGCCTAAGGATGTAAAGAATCAATGAAATTTTACTAAAATGTATAATCAGAAAGCTTGCAGGTGAAAATCTGATTAATTTTAAAAGTATGGTAAACTTCTAGTGTAAGTCAGCTGTTACTCAACCAAGGAACACATACCACAGTGAGACATATCTCTGTAAAGATTGAAGGCGTGGTACCACAGTGCTCTGTAAGAGAAGCCATATGTGTGAATCCTATGAAGTTAAAAAATGTAGAAAAGCTGTGTCATTCTTCATTTGACTTGAATATACTGTGAGTAACACTGAATGTTAAGAACAGAGGAAAGCTTTCTAATATTAAGCCTCCTGAATTCATACCTGGAAACTTATGCAGGTGTGGGGCCCAATGAAATTAATGAAAATGGACATGTTTTGTTTTTTTGAGGTAGGGTTTCTATGTGTAGTTTCAAACTCACAGAGATCCTCCGGGCTCTGCCTCCTGAGTGCTGAGATTAAAGTTGTGCACCACCACCACCCAGCCTGACATGTTTTAAAATAGAAATCAGGCTTCTACATTAGAAACTTCATATATGATATGCCAGGTACAGCAAAAATTGTAGTGATGTATATTACCACATGCTTTCAATTCTAGATCCTCATCCTGAGACTCTGTGACTGAAGGCTATCCTTAGCAACAGATGATCTTATTCCATATGATTAAAAGCAGTAAAGCCTACTTGAACTGTCCCATGTCAGGTAAAGACATTGCAACCCATATATTTAAAACCCTAAGAATATAAAGAGTGCCAAAAATTTTAAATTGAACTTGAAATTGATCTGGCATTGGAAACCCAATAGAGGTGATTAACCAGAGGAGTCCAATTTGAAAACACTTCAGTAGTTAAACTGAGTTTATTACAGATTTGCCAGTAAAGTATAGATGTAAGGATTCAAGAAAAGGCATTCAGCCATGCTCCCACAGTACCAGCCATCAGATAACTCTTGCAAGTGAGAGCGCATTTGAAGTTTAGAAGTACACTTGGCTTAAATGTGGCTCAGTGGCAGTAGACTTATGAGTCTTGTATTTACACAGAAGTTTTCGTGTGTCATCTTGATTTAGAATATTTACATTCATGGGACATTTGTATATCAGGTAGAATAGTCTATAAGTTTTAATGTCCCATCAGATATGAACATTTTTAATGTGTCACATTTTTATAATTGTTTAGTTTTGAGACAATCTTGATGTGTAGCTTGAGTATCCTCTGATTTCTGCATGTGCATAGTTAGGTACCTCCCCCCTACACACATATAGAAAATATACACACAGTAGAAAAATATCAAAATTTTTTATGTATTATGAAATTGTATAACAAAACATCAGGATATGTCATTTTCATGTTACTCTTCAAATAGAATTTTGCTTAAATGTGCTATTAAAAGTTAAAATGTTCAACTATAACCCAATAAAGAAACATAATAATATACCTTGCCAATATCCATTAGGCAACTTTTTTTTATTTTGGGGGGCTTTTTTTCCTTATTGTAATGCTTTGAATCAAAACCACAGACTTGGGCATTCTAGACAAGTGCTCTATCCTGAGATATAGGTTCCTAGGCAATGTTTTGATGAATTTGTGGTCATTGGAACTTTGTAGTTCAGTCTAATCTATTAAAGCCCATACATACATAAATATCTGTGCTTTGTGGATAGTAGACTTTATTTCCTTGAGTGGCTTCATCATAACCATATAGAATATGTGCAGTTTGTTTAGAAATATAGGAACTGAAGGTCAGAGTGTACCTTAATAATAGGGCATATGCCTCTGCGTGTATATTTTATAACTGTAATCCCAGCACATACAAAGGATATAGACATTTAAAGACAGGAAGCATAATATCAAGAAAAGGTATCAGATTCAAAATCATTTCTTTGTGACCTTGACCAACTATGCTGCACATTCTAAACTTTAAGATACTTCCCCAAATAGTGCTTCCAATTTGAATATCAAACACTCAGAACATAGACATCAGACAGAGATTCCATGTAGCTGCACAGCATATAGTGACTATGTCCCCCAAATTGTTAAGTTACCCACTATTTTAAAGAAGCTTAGGGGATTATTTATGAAGCAAATACAACTAAAACCAATAAACTCAAAGATAAATAAAATATATAAAGCATTTAGGAATGAGTAACACATTTTAATCAGAATAAAATATGCACAGTAGATAACATAAAAATGAGAGGCACAACATCAATGGAATAACATTTAAGTAAAGAGGGGAAAATAAAAATCAGATACAGAGTTTCATGTTTTGCAGTCTTTAAAGAGCCAAATAGAGGACACAGTGCAATTCAAGTTATACATAATTTCATAAAAAATAAAATTAAAATAAATGCTGATGAGAATCTTGAATTACATATGTTTATTGTGTATGTATATGTCCATATTCCATAGTGTGTGTGTGTGTGTGTGTGTGTGTGTGTGTGTGTGTGTGTGTGTGTAGGTTTGACAGCAACTTCCTTTGAACCTCTAAATATAACATTAGGAATAAGCATTTTTGCAGATGTAATTAAGCTGGAGACCAGGATATGAATGATGTCATCTGGATTCTCCAGAAAAAAAAACCTAAATAAAATAATACTGTCCTCATAAGGAGAAACAGCAGAAGTGGTGTGAAGAATGCCTATGTTCTTAACTACTCTCTTGGCCAAGGCAGTAGGTTCACAAGTTCAGAAACAGTCTGGGCTACAGAGTGAGTACAGGTCCACATGAATGATAGTGATGTTATTTCATAAGAAAAAGTACAAAAAATGGGCTGAGAAGTTGATAAAAATAGAACACTATAATCAAGAAATTAGGAGGTGAAAACAAGATTAAAGTTAAGATCATTCTCCAGCTATATAGTGAAGTTCACGCCAGCATGATCTACATGAGACTTTATCTTAAAAGACTTCTAGCCAGGCAGTGGTGTCACATGCCTTTAATCCTAAACTCGGGAGGCAGAGGCTGGCAGATTCTGAGTTAGAGGCCAGCCTGGGCTACAGAATGAGTTCTAGGAAAGGCTCCAAAGCTACACAGAGAAACCCTATCTTAAAAATACAACAACAAAAAAATACTTCTAAACCCAATCAAGTAAGGCTTTTCTGTATGAATACCCATCCCCAACTAAAGTATAGCTCAGAAACATGAACACTTGAGAACACTATTCTAACAGGTGTCTCTGGGAAGAGGTCAATATAATAGCAGGGGATATGCAACTGAAGACTGTAGATGTAACCGTCTTCTTAAATAAGAAACACAGAGCCAATGCAAAGATGAGAGCCCAAGAGGTCAGAGCGATAGCTAAGAGCTAAAAACCTTACCCTTCCCTGCCGCTGCTATCTTCCTCAGCAAGAGACCTACTCCTGTCTGTTTGTCTTTTTTATAGACTTTCTATTCTGCCTTCTCATTGATTGTAAACCCAACCACATGACCTCCTCATCACTGCCTGTCTGTACAGACCTCCAGGTCTTCTATGGTTGGTATTGAGATTAAAGGTGTGTGTCTCCATGCTGGCTGTATCCTTGAACACACAGAGATGTGTCTAGCTCTGCCTCCCAAGAGCTGGGATTAAAGGCATGCACCACCACTGCCCAGTTTCTGCTATGGCTTGCTATTAACTCTGACCCCCAGGCAACTTTATTAACATATAAATAAAATCACATTTCAGTACAATTAAAATATCACCATAGAAGACAATGACTTACTTCTCCCAGAACATGTTTTCTCAGTATGTCACTGGGACAGAATATGAAGGCCATTACTGAATTCTAGGATAAATAAGAATCACCCTTCACATTAACTCAGTGGCTTGGGTCTGCCTTAAAACTTGCTCACAGGATAAAGTGACTGCTGGAAGCTATTTTAACATCAAGTCCCAATCACATGTCCAATCTATAAGATCTGTTAAGGAGTTACCTGCCCAACTCAAAAGCTCAAGACCTTGCTTCAGTGAGCCTTTTAGAGAGCTCTGCTTTCTCTAACAAGACCCAAGAATGAATTCTTCCTTTCTTGGTTCTGTAATACCTTTTTATGTTCCTTTTTGCTATCCTCTTGATGTCCTGTATAATATATCCTATTGCAGGAATCCACATAGACAACTCTTCTCCAGAAGACCTAAGACTATTCCTGGACTAGGGTTCACACTTACTGAGTTAATTACCCATTCCATAGCTACAGTCAGTGAAAACATTGTTGAGTTCCTATACAGAACTTTGTGTTTCTTCTCATACTGATTATTGTTGTTACAGTCATTACCTGCCTTCCTAAAATCAAACTACAGTGCCACTTTTAATCAGTATGACTTTCATTATCCTCCTACTCCTGTCCTTTACCATACAACCAATACTTTTCCAAAATATCATCACGTGCTCTTCAGTCCTCGATGACTGCTTGATTTTCCTACCTTAATGGTGATTAACCTAGAACTTTTCAAATAAACCAGACTGGGCACCGGAGAGATGGCATGGTAGTTTAACAGCAGTGCCTGCTCATCCAGAAGACCCAGATTTGATTCCTAGGACACACACAGTGGCTAACAACTCTGTATAACTCTAGTTTCAGACCATCTGATAAGCTCTTCTGGATTCTGTGGGCATCGGGTATGCAAGTAGTACAGACATATATACAGGCAAAACCTTGCAATCCATAAAACCTTACAAATAAACCAAATTTGCAATCTTACTACTTCCAACACTCTCTGGCTGAATACAAAGGTATCTGATTCCTTATGTCTCAGTCTTTGTCAGTTGAGGGTTCAATCTTATTAAGTCATATATTAAGTTTCTAAGCTAGGTCTCCATTTGTATTAAGGCCATCAGCCACTTGGAATAGTCCATTCTCGTGGACAACCATAGGACATAGAAGGCATAGTACATAGGACAACAAAGAATATGTTTCCTTTTTTAAAACACCATCAATTGCCACACAGCAGAGGCATGTCCTATCATTATACCTGACAAAACTTATGTAAAAATTCAATTTTATCAAGCTGAAGACTTGCATATGTTGGACCTATATTTGAAGGGTTTGTACCTCCTTAAAAAGAACTATTAACATCATCTTGCACAGACCAGAGAGATGGCTCAGCCATTAAGAGCACTGGCTGCTCTTCCAGAGGACCTGGGTTCAGTTCCCAGCACCCACATGGCAGCTCACAACTGTCTCTAAGTCCAATTCCAGTGAATCTGATACCCTCACACAGAAATGCTTGAAAGCAAAACACCAATGCATGTAAAAAGAAATCATTTTTTAAAATTGTTTCCCTCTCTAGTTAACACCAGGGTTTTAAAAATAGAGTTCAAGAAGTTCCACCTATTTGGAAAAATGAAACACCTTTTGGATACCCAATCTAACTTCAATCTTTCCCTCGACTGGTTTTTATTTCCTGCTATTTCTTTTGTGCCCAAACATGCTCCTTTTCTGGAATAATTAATCATTATTTTCTGTGTTTGGGTGTATATCCTGCATGTATGTGTACTACATATTTGCCTGGTACCTTTGAAGGCCAGAAGAGGGCAATAAATTTCTTGAAACTGAGTTACAAACAATTTTGACCCATCATGTAGGTGCTAGGAATTGAACCCAGGTCCTTTGAAAGAGCATCCAGTATTCTTTAACTGCTGACATAACTCTTAAACCCATTAACCATGTATTTTTTTTCACTTGTATATTGCCAAATGTCTTAGTTACTTTTCTGTTGCAGTAATTAAAGATCATGATGAAGCAGCTTGTAAACGAAAATGTTTGATTTGGGTCTGACAGTTGATCTGTGACTATTATGGTGGAAGCATGACAACATGCAGGTAGGCATGGTGTTGGAGTAGTTGATAACTTATGTCTTTACGCAAAAGTTCATTACAGTGAAACAGAGGATGGGGATGTAACATGGGGATTTGAAACAAAGCCCACATCAGTGACATCTCCCACAAGTCCATATTTCCTAATCCTTCCCAAACAATTCTACCAACTGGGAACCAAGTATTCCAATATATGAGCCCACAGGGTTCATTCTTGTTTAAATAACCATACCACGTGTCTTTTCTAAGGAGCCTTCCTCCTGTGAAACAGTGTCTTTTCTTATCTACTGACTATTTAGATTATCATTTGTACAGCCTTGTACTTAGTGAACAAATGAAGAAATACCCGAAAGAAGCATCTTCAAGGGCTTTGCATTTCTATCCAAAGCTTATTAATGATTCATTGGGCACCATAGGACAGTAGAAGAAACTGCCAGAAGTATAAAACATGGGCCCAGGCCACCCCTGAGATCTCAGCTCTGCAGAAACAGGTAGCCCATGAGTTTGGCATTAGCCTAAGAAACAGAAGACCCTATTTTAAAAAGCAAAATGGGGAAAGGTAATCTTACTTCTAGTTGGAAAAGTGCATTGTGTTTTGCATTTGTTCATGTCTCTGCATAATTTGCAGATTCAAAAGTTTAAAAATATAAGACTTTAGAAGCTACAGGCAGGTGATTTAAAAATATACTAGGCAAGAATTTTTTTTTATTTTTAAAAATTATGTGTGTAGGTGTTTTGCCTGTATGTATGTCTGGGGGTCACCTGTGGGCCTGGTCCCCAGGGAGGCGATGATTAAGTTTGGTCCTGGAGTTACAGGTGGCTGTGTGCTACCATGTGGATGCTAGGAATTGCACCTGTATCCTTTGGAAGAGCAGCCAGTGCTCTTAACCACTGAGCCTCTCTCCAGCCCAGGTCTCACTATGTAGACCAGGCTGACTTCAAACCTACCAGATCTTCCTACTTCTGCTGCTTGAGTGCTGGGGCTAGAGGAATGTACCACCATAGCCAGCAGGAATTCTTTTTAACAGAAGAAAAACTAAGCAATAAGGTAACTAGCAACTTCAAGTATTAAAATTAAAGGAGTTAACACCCTTCCCCCAAATCCACCCTAGAAGACAACACAGATTTGCAATACATGCCATATGAAGAGATTTGTGTGCAGAGTAAAATTGAACCACATACATGCATTATGTTTAGAAAATAACTAATGTACATGCAATTTACATGCACACACACATACAAATTTAAAAGATGAAAGACCATACATGACATTGATCCCATCTCTATGACAAGGAACAAGCCAGTCAAAACATCAAATAAATGGGTTCTCAAATCAACTACATGGTCAAAAATTAGTCTCCTGGTGATCAGAGAAAACCAGATAACTTCTGAATGAATACATTCATACACATAATGATTGTAGCCTTAAGGTAATTGTAGATTAGAGTAACTAACTGAACATAGTTGACTATGTTAATGTCAATCAATGCAGCCTGAGCTTACTAGCATAACCCTGTAACCCTTACATTGTACCTCATAAACACCTACAATGTGACAAATCAACTGGCCATAGCTCTTTGATTTTTACCTGGGTATAAATCACAGATAAAGAGCAGTAACCCTCCCAGACTCCTGCTCCCCCTGCCTGCTGCACCACCAACTGCTGTCAAGAGATGCAAAACCTGTTACAAAACCAGCACGATAAAAATAGTTTAGGACACATGCTTTTACTCCTAAAGATGAAAGCAAATTTGCATTATAGTGAGATAGATTTGCTTGTTTATGTTTACCTAAAGTTGAGTGATGGTTGAATATTTGATACTATAGGACACAGAATATCTGTGGTATTTTTCAGAGTTGATATTTTGATTTTAAATTCACCAGTATTGAGAAAAGTTTCACATAAATATGTAGTTTTTTAAAAAACTACAGAAGTATATTTAGGGGCATTTCAGAAATTATTGGAAACTTTGCCATTATTCTAAGACAAAGTTCATTTAATAATTCCTTTATATTATATATTTCTTCATATCATCAACCCAGTGAACAGCTGTCTCTATCATGTATCTATCTATCTATCTATCTATCTATCTATCTTGAATCAGAG